TCTGAATATCCCAACACCACCCCCAACGAGCTCCTTAACCTAAAATCAGCAATTCTCTTTTCTTTGTTGGTCGAGAGGATAAACAATCTTGTAAATCAAACTTTGAAAGGAACACCATCAAACCACATGTCATGCCAAACAAAAAAGATTCCCCATTACCAACCCTAATATGAAATTATCCTTAAAACAAGCACCAAAATCATCACTAACGAAGCATCTCTTCACTATCCCTTTCCATATCCAAGAAGCTCTCGTGGAAATCAATTTATCGACAGCAAAGGAGTTGAAATCAATATTATTTACAAGGCATATGACCCTTTTCCACAATGATTCTTTCTCTGAAACAAACTTCCACAACCACTTCCCCAAAATAGCTCTATTCATCATATCCAAACTAACTATTCCCATGCCTCCCATATCCTTTGATCTGCACACTGAATCCCACTTTACCCAATGGATAGCTTTCCTATCAGATGACCCCGTAAAAGAATCGCGCCATAATAGCATTTAGCTTCTTTAGAATGTAAGAAGGAATTTTGAATAAGGGCATGAAGTAAATTGGTAGAGAGCTTAAAATAGACTTAATTAAAACAGCCCTTCATGCTAGCGATAACGTCTCCACCTTCCAACCTGTTAACTTCTTTTGGAACCTTTGAATAACAGGATCACAAATACTAATTGAGTTCCTTATCGCCTCAATTGGAAGCCCTAAATAATATACCGAAAACGTACCCACCAAACAACCCAATGAACTAGTCCACCCATTAATAATATCATCCTCCATATTAATACAAAAATTCTTGCTCTTAGTCATATTCAATTGCAAATCAACCATCAATTTAAAGACCGAAAAAACCTGACTAATATTCCTCAATTCCCCAAAGGAGGCATTGCAAAAAATGATTAAATCGTCAGCAAATTGCAAGTGTGAAAGCATTAGAGAGTACCCCTGACTATCAATCTCAAACCCTCTGAACAGCCCCACGTTCACATCTTTAATTAACAAAAGGTTCAATAACACCCCTGGAGAAGCCCTTTCGAAATCTTAAACCTTTCTATGGGAGACCCATTAATCAGAACGAAAATGGATGCCGATGAAAGTCATAGCTCAATCCACGAACACCATCTCCTTCCAAAGCCCATTTGATTCATAATTTGTAATAACATCCCTCAATCCACCGAATCGCACATTTTTTTGAAATCCACCTTAAAAAACACCCTTGAACCCCTCCTTCCTCCAAAATTCAATGGCTTCATTCGCAATAAACATACATTCCATGATCTGTCTCCCTGGTATGAACGCAAATTGTGTTTGATCGATGAGTCCATCCATACAAGACCGTAACCTTCTTGATAAAACCTTTGATAAAATTTTGTACAGCCCCTCTACCAGATTGATTGGCATATGATCTTCTAAACATTTTGGATTAATCTTCTTGGGAATAATGGTTAAAAAGGAATGATTCACCTCCTTATCCCATGTTTTTCCCCTAAAGAAATCAGCAAAAAAAATTCATTATCACTTTCAAACTCTGCCAAAAGCTTTTGAAGAACCCTATGTTTAACCAATCTGGACCAGGAGCTTTGTTGTTGTTTATTGCAGATATTGCCTCTCATACTTCCTCTTCTGAAAAAGGATATTCCAACAAAGAAATATGATTCTCCGACAACTTTGGGATGTTCAAATTCATATCTACAATCTCAAATATTATTTTACGATTAAAGTATTCTTTAAAGAAATTCGCCACACATATTTTAATCATTTCTGGTTCCAACATTATCATATCTTTCACCTTCAATTTCTTAATACAATTCACTCTCCCCATATTTGTAGCAATCTGATGGAAAAACCGAGAGTTCCTATCCCCTTCTAAGTTCCACTTAACCCTCGATTTTTGAAACATATTAGTTAATCTTTTTTATACAATTCCCGCTTCTTCTTCGCCAGTAATTGTAGTATGACTAAAGGAGAACCTTGTTGCGCTGCTAATTCCATTTCATGGACTGATTTTTCTAGATTCTTTATTATGCATGAAATATCTCTGAAGCCATTCTTTGACCATTTTCTAATTGCTAACTTCGCCCAATTCAACACCCCACAAATACCTCTTCCCCCTCTATCTCCTTTAACCTTTTTCGATTACTCTTTCATCATATCTTTAAAACCTTCTTCTTCCAACACATAATTGAACGTCCTGAATGGTTTAGGCCCCCAGTTTGACTCACCATCCTCCAACATTATAGCGTTGTGATCCGACAAAGACCTAGGGAGCAAGATTTGATTCACCTTAGGAAACTAAGTTAAAAATCTTTGATCAACCAGAAAAATGTTCTAGCCTCACAAAGGATGCTTGATCCCTATTGTTGCTCCATGTGAATCGACTTCCTATTAATGGCAGATCAACCACACATGCTTGACATACAAACTCACAAAAAAGTCTCATTGAAGAAAAATTAAAACCCCTCCTAACTTATCCTCTTTCATCAAAATTGCATTAAAATCTCCTCCCATGCATATAGGACAATCAACCAGCTCAATATATGACAACAACTCACCAAATAAAGCTTCTTTTTCAGAGTCTAGACAAGGCCCATAAACGTTAATAAAACAACAATCCTCCAGGGACCCAATCAATTTACCCTTGATAGCTAAAAACCTTTTGTTAATGTCCACAAATTTAATGCATAACACACGTTCATCCCACAATGTAATCAGCCCCCTACGGAGCCTTCTGACAGGTCAACCGCAACACCCCTCAATACCTTACCTCTGATCCTCAACAGCGATGATTTTACCGACTCTAATTTTGACTCATGAATAAACAACACAGAAGGCCTTCTTCCATCAACCAACCCTCTCATCACTCTAGATTTCTTATTTCGACCCAAACCCCTAATATTCCACGATATAACTGATAACTTAAACATTTTGAATATTAACAAAACCCTTCACACAATTTGGTATAATTAGTTCCCCCCCAACTCACATTATCTTTCGCAACAACAGCCGCTCGATTAACGAAAGCCTTCTTCCCTCCTCTAAAAGTTACTCCCAGCAGTTTACATGTGTCCCATACTGCTGCCGCTTCTTCCACCATCTCATCTTGCTTATTTGATTCACCAAAATTCCCCCTTTCTCTAACTTCAGACCTGCTCCTAAGTCTCGACCTGCAATACACTCTTTTACAAAAAACAATTTCCTTTCTGCCAACAGAAGCACTTCTTCCCGATAGTCGATCGCGATCCGGTGTACGAAACCCATTTTGATGACCTGACTGAGCACTTCTTTCCTAACCTCCCAAATTACCACTGTTTTCATTCAATAACTTCAATTCCCGTTCATCAGCTCCACGGACAGTTTGAGAAGAGCTTCTTTGACTTAACGCCCTTCTCTGCATCCTCAAAGAAGCCGTAGAGGACCAATCTTTTGTCTATTAAAATTAAGCCCATCAAGTCTACTGTCCTTATTAGCTTCCTTGTTTCTGCCCACATACCCATCAGCCGACACAGCCCTATTAAAGTGGACCCCAGAAGAATCCAGCTCATCGTTCTTAAAGGCTTACAAGCATTTTCCCCTCGAGCCTTCAGCTTCGTTAACAACACCATAATTCCCTTTTCTGCCACCCGAAAGATTATCATTAATCCATGTCTCCACCGTTCTCATAGAACCCGTCTTTGTCCGATGATCTTCCTCCACCCTCTCCCCGACTGACCCGAGACTCCTGTAACTTTCCGACAACTCCTTTTCCTATCCATCACCGGAGCCATCTTCTTCCTCCTCATACAAGATGTCTGGAAAAAAAAACCTCTGCTGCTTCTACCTTAAACTTGATCAATTACGATCTCCCATTAGTTGTGATCGAGATCGAACTAGGCACATCAAACGGGCTCGCCACTCTCAGAAGCATCTGTGCTACACGACAGTCATCTTTCTTCAACGTTTCTTCTTGAATCTTTACCAGCGACCCCCATCTATTAGCTAAACTGGAGAAAAAAAACCTTCACTCTAGTAATTGAGGGGCACAATTAACGAAAAGAGCAAAAGACCAATGGAACTCCCCCTCCTGAATAACCGGAGATAACCAATCAAACCATTCATTTAGGACTTCGTTTTCTTCTCCAAAGCTTCCTTCCGATTGTCCTCTAACGGGAACATAATTATATAAGCGTTCTTCGCAAATCCCCATCTGGACACCTTGGCGTTAACCCCATCGTTAAACATGGCCTCTTGAAGGTACCCCACTCCATGATCATTCTTGCAAATACCCGTCATTGACATTCTAAACCAAACTCTTTCTTCCGCGGGAATGAAGATATTCAACTGCCCCTTCGAACCCCCTGGACCATCTTTACCCCCAGGACCATCTTTACCCCCAGGACCATCATTATCCTTTACTTGCTTCTCCATTTTTCTAGTTCTGTCACCAACCACCATATCTCTGTAAGATCTCTCATCACAAAATTTGTCGAAGATCGCCTTCCTTTCTTCAAGACACCCTGAAGGTTTACTGCTCCGACTCTGACTCTTCAAGTCCCCCGCTTTGACTGCTTTGAATCTTCCCTGCTCTTGGGGTTTAGGATATTTAGCAACTCCCACTGATATTTTCTTTTCGTCAACCTTGGCGTTGTTCAAATTCTTAACAGCATTGAGCAGATCTCCCTCGCTCGCGAAATGGACAAAAGCAAAGGTGTTCCACTTGTACCTTGGTCTCTTATTCACACTTGGGATATATACCTTTGTAACCTTCCCATGATGATTGCAAAGTTCCCATAATGTTCTCCTATGAAAGTATCTTCTAAGATTATCAACAAACGCCGACCAGAAAGCTCCAGTGGGGAGCTTTCCGACTCTTTGACTTTTAGACTCACTCATGCTTTTTAGAACAAGGATGAAATTGCTCCTACTATTCTTTACTTTGTCTTTGTTTTAATTTTTTTTCTTTATGTGGCTATGGCCTGTACTAAGTCATGCTTAATCTTCTGTAGTAAAAACTCACAACATGGGAGTCGTCATTGCAATTTGGTCTCCAATTGTCCTGGTAAGTTAGCGTGTAGAAAGTTTTGGGAGTGAAAGAAGTTATACTGTTTTGAGGTACTTAAAATCATTAAATAGTGTCTGTGTAAATTGAGTAACTAGTTTTGTTTTGTTTCCCTATAGGTATATTTTATGGATGCACAAATATGGTATGCTATATTTTCTACTATTTTTGGTGGAATTCATGGTGCTTTCAGCCATTTGGGTGAGGTTAGTGGCCAACTTGTTCTATACCATCAAGGCACATGTCTAAAAGAAAAATATTAGTTGCCCTATGAAATCTATGTGATTTTTGTGAAAAGAATTATTTCTGCATCTCTGGTAGCTAGACAATCGTGATTGTCTTTTAATTTTTTTCCCTTAAACTGTAATTTTCAGATACGGACATTGGGGATGTTGCGGTCTAGATTTGAATCTGTTCCTAGAGCCTTTTGTCGTCGTCTTGTTCCATCATCAAATCATCATAACAGAAAAAGGTCTCTGGTAGTGCTCAAATGACGCTGCACTGTTTATGTGGTTGCTCTTAATTGTCTTAATCATCAGTTTATCGAAATTGAATTGTGGTTCCTTTTAGAAGGCAATATCTGGATGGAGTGGTGGAGCCTATACTTTCTTTTGTTGTTTCTTTGCTAAAAGTGATCATTTCAACATGACAGGATGAGGCAACAGAAAGAAAGAATATTGCAAGTTTTTCTCTGGTTTGGAATAAGTTCATACTTTCTATGAGGATGCAGGATCTGCTCAGGAATAGGTTGGGGAATTCCTCTCTAAATTGTCTGTCAATGAAATTTATTAAATCTTAAATGCAATATATACAGAATTCTGATATTTTCTTTTGACTTTATTGTCCAGAGAGAGAGATTTGCTTCTTGTACCATCTTCATCAAGTGATGTCTCTGTTGTCCAGTGGCCCCCTTTCTTGCTTGCTAGCAAGGTTGATAGCTGTAGCAATTTTCTATATTAATTTTAAGCTCAATGCAAGATCCTATATCGTACTTAGTGTCTGGTTTATAACACATGACAGATTCCTATTGCATTGGACATGGCAAAAGATTTTAAAAAGAAGGATGATACAGACTTGTTTAAGAAGATAGCGGCTGATGATTATATGCACTCAGCAGTCATAGAATGTTATGAAACTCTCAGAGATATAATATATAACCTTCTGGAAGATGAAGCGGACAGGATGTAAGGTTGAAGCAGTCATATTATGAACTTGAACTACTTCTAAACGTGATCTTAAATCGTATCATGGCTTGTTTAGCAATGAAAATATCCCCTTTTTCTCTATTAAAATGTCTAAGAATTTCTTTTCTCTTCTCTTTACTTCTAGGATTGTTAGAGAGATTTGTTATGAAGTCGACCTTAGCATACAACAGGGGAGATTTTTGACAAACTTTCGGATGAGTGGGCTGCCTGCAGTCAGCAATAGGTTGGACAAGTTTCTAGGGATCTTGGTAAGATTCTTTCTTTACATTTTCTTAACTTCTGTAGGTATATAAAGTTCATTCATGATATGGTATTTTCCCATTGCTAAAGTCTCTCTCTATGTTGGCAGCTTTCCGATATGGAAGATGCTGATACATTCAGATCTCAGATAATCAATGTACTGCAGGATATCATGGAAATTATAACACAGGATGTTATGCTCAATGGCAGTGAGTACGTTCTGGAAAATAAAAACCTTTTGGATTTGATGTTGTGTCAATTTTATTGGGAAAAAAGTAACCTACAAGTTTTTCTTTTTAGAATCATTGGAAGAGCTCACCGTCATGGTCGAAGTGCTCAATATGACAGGAAAGAGCTGAGATTTGAAAAGATAAATATTAGCCTTATACAACAGAAGATGTGAAGGGAGAAGGTATATTTGAGATGGACTCATATTGGTCATTTATCATGTAACTATTTTCAGAGAATGTTTTATTCCTAATATGATTATACATATGTTATTTTTTTTTTTTTGGCAGATCAATAGGCTATATTTGCTTTTGACTGTTAAAGAATCAGCTATAAATGTGCCTCCAAATCTGGAGGCTCGGCGCCGGATCACATTTTTTGCAAACTCCTTATTTATGAATATGCCAAGTGCTCCGAAAGTCCGTGACATGCTTTCATTTAGGTCAGTTTGCAGGATACCATATTAGTAAAATGTCACTGTTTGCTTATTTGAAACAAGGACTGGGAAAGGGGCAAGTTTTCTTTTAATGATATTTTTTATGTCAGTGTGCTAAAAGTCGATTTTACAACAGTCAGTGGGGGTTTGTTGCTTTAATTGGATCATAGCCAAGGTTTTTAACTTGTTTAAAGTACAATAAGCTTTTATTTTCCTTTTAAGCATCGTCATAATCAGTTACTGTGATTCTGAATTATGTATAAGATGAACATGGGCGCTGTGGTTATCTCCATTAGAAGAAGTGTTATTTAGATGGATGCCTCTCTACTCTCACTTATACTGCTTCTCTGATTCAGTGTTTTGAATCCATACTACAAAGAAGATGTTCTTTAGTCAGATGAGCACCTCCATAAAGAAAATGAGGATGGAATATCAATTCTGTTTTATTTGCAGAGAATATATCCTGGTAATTTGCAATCTCTTGCTATTTTATGCCTTCTGCTGTATCAAAAATGTACAACCAACTGGACATCTGCAACTGTAAACTAGATGAGTGGAACAACTTTCTAGAGCGAGTGCCATCTGTTGCATTTAAAAGTGAGAATGACGAGCCTCAGAACAATGAAGAAATCAGAAAGTGGGTATCTTATAGAGGACAGACACTCTCCAGAACAGGTATGGGAACATAAAAAAATATCATTTTATTTTCACCAACTTTAGTTATATTGATTCTTTCTTGAGCTGTCATTATGTATTTCTTCGGGTGACAGGGATGATGTACTACAGGCAGGCTCTGGAACTCCAATACTGTTTAGAGTTTTTAGAAGACTCTGGTTTGTTTCTCCCTTTGGATAATTACAATTCGAAATAAACGTCTTTATGTATCCAATTTCTTTAAAAGGTGATGTGATGATACTATCTTGAAGTATTTGTTGCGGAAGACGGCTATCGATAGAGCAAAATCGTAATTAATAATTTGATAAAATAAAATAAAGATAAAAGAGACACAAAATTTACTTGGAAAACCCCTAAATTATATAGGGTAAAAACCACTGGCAACGGTAGAAGAATTTCACTATGAGAAAATAAGAATTACAACCTCTCTCGATCTACCAATGAGAAAACAATGATAATTCTCTCTTAATAAAAAGGAGAAAACAACTCTCAAGAAACTCTCTAAATTCTCTCTAGTATTGGAAGAAAGCTAGAATGTTTTGGGATGATTTTGAAGCTAAATGAACTAGGGTATTTATAGTTGAAGCTTAAGGACTAATTTGTAAGTACCCTAAATTTCAATGACTAATTGCATAGTTTTACCATCCAAAATATTCAACAATTTCAGCTGCCATTTGCACCACTTGCACCGAAAATATTGTTGTCAAAAAACCCACCGAAAGTTGCCTACACTTGTTGACTTTTCAGCAATCTCCCACTTGAAGATTTGATTGGATTCTACATACCCATGATTAATAAGTTTGATCCTCCGTAACATAATGCAACATTTGAGGTCCCCTTTGATATATCTCAGGATCCTCTTCACAATATTCCAATGCTCTTTGCCTGGATTCTCCATGTACCGACTAACCACTCCCACTGCTTGTGCAATGTCTGGTCTTGTGCATATCATAGAAAATATTAAACTTCCCACTGCTGATGCATACGGTACTCGAGACATCTCCATTCTCTCTTCTTCACTGCTAGGACTCATACTGGAGGATAATTTGAAGTTAATAGAAAGAGGGGTAGAAATTGGCTTACAATCTTGCATGCTGAATCGTGACAAGATCTTCTTCAAGTAATTCTTTGTGAAAGTCAAATCTTCCTATTACTTCTGTCTCGGTGAATTTGCATCCCTAGAATATTGTTTGTTGATCTCAAGTCCTTCATTTCAAATTCCCTAGCCAGTTGTGCCTTCAATTCTTCAATATGATCTTTATTGGGTCCTGCAATCAACATGTCATCCACATACAAAAGCAATATAACAAAATCGTTATCACCAGACCTCTTGAAATAAGCACAAGGGTCTGCATTAAGTCTGTTGTATCCAAGGCACATAATAAAGGAATCAAATCTCTTATACCAATACCTCGGTGCCTGCTTTAGACCGTACAGAGATTTGTTCAACCTGCAAACCAAGTTCTTCTTTTCTTTTTCTTCAAAACCTTCAGGCTGGAGCATATAAATCTCTTATTCAAGATTTCCATGAAGAAAAGCTGTTTTAACATTTAGCTGCTCTAGATGTAAGTTCAATGTAGCACACATTGCCAAAACTACTCGAACTGTTGTTAGTCGAACCACAGGAGAAAATATTTCATTGAAATCAATACCTTCTTTTTTAGCATATCCTTTGACCACCAGTCTTGCACGATACCTCTCAACTTGATCGTCACCATTTCGCTTGATTTTGAAGACCCGTTTGTTACCAATTGGCTTCCTTCCTTGTGGTAGTGGCACAAGGTCTCATGTATTATTTTTACGAAGTGCTTCAATTTTCTCTTGCATCGCCATCATCCATAGTGAAGCATCTGAGCTGTTTATTGCCTCCTGGTATGTTGATGGCTCACCGTCCTCTGTTAAAAGGCAGTATGCAATATTACCTTCTATAACATAATCTGAGTGCCAATTAGGACGTCTTCTCACACAATCTGATTGACAAGTTATTGGAGCTTCAGAACTTTCTGGTTCTTGTTCATCATGTGCTGGTTCTGCTTCAGAAGAATCTCCTTGTTCAACCTCTTTTTCCACATGTATCTGTGTAGTCTCTGACTTTTCAGTGCTATCATCGTCTTCTTTTCTTTGTAGCTTATCTTCTACAAAGATGACATCCATACTGATGATCACTTTACGGGCAGTGGGATCCCACAAGCGATACCTCTTTACTCTATCAGCATACCCCAAGAATTTGCATTTCCTGGTTTTTGGTTTCAGCTTTGAGATTTCTTGGGAGTTGTACATCACGTACACAATACTTCCAAATATATGGAGGTTTGAATAATCAGCTGGTTTACCAGTCCACATCTCCATTGGTGTCATCAGCTCTATTGCAGTTGATGGAGCTCGATTCACCAAATAACAGGCGGTATTGACTGCTTCTTCCCAGAATGATTTTTCTAGGCATGCATCCCTTAACATTGCTCTTGTTCTTTCTAACAAGGTTTGTTCATCCGCTCTGTCACTCCATTTTGTTGATGAGTGTTCGCCACTGTGAACTGTCTTTTGATGCCTTCTTTCTTTCAAAAGTCATCAAATTCTTCGCTTGTGTATTATCCTCCATTATCTGTTCTGAAACACTTGATCTTATTTCCAAAATCAAGTTCCACCCGCGCTTTGAAGTTTTTGAAAGTTGAAAACACATATGTCTTCTTCTTAATAGGGTACACCCAACATCTCCTGGAGTAGTCATCAATAAATGGGACAAAGTATTTTGCTCCGCCTAGGGATGTAACTAGTGCTTGCCATACGTCAGAGTGAACCAATTCTAGAACACTTTTGCCTCTAGAATTTGATTTATTGAATTTCAACCGGTGTTGCTTACTTGTTATGCAATGCTCACGTAAAGGAAGTATTACCTTTGTTAAGCCTGGAAGTAGTTTTTGCTCCACAAGGACTTTCATTCCTTGTTCTGACATGTGTCTAAGTTTCTGATGCCATAACATTGCAGAATCTGAACTACATAAGGCAATAGAGGCTTCTGCTTCTAGCAAAGTCTCTCCCTTCAGCATCTACAAGTTTGCTGCTATCTTTTCGCCTTTCAGCACCACAAGCGCTCCAAGGAACACCTTCATGATTCCTTTCCGTGTTTCAATCTTGCTTGCATTATTATCCAACAATCCGTAGGATAATAAATTTTTCTTCAGGCCTTTCACGTGTCGCACATCTCGAACAACTTTAATTGTTCTGTCATACATCTTCAATTTGATGGTTCCCACGCCAACGATATCTAAGGCATGATCATTGCAACTATACACAGATCCTCCTGAGATAGATTCATAATGATGGAACCATCCTCTTCTTGAGGTCATGTGATATGTTGCTCCCGAATCAATGAGCCATATATTTGCAAATCGTTTTCTTCCTTCCACGGTGGTTGACGCTTCACACCATAGAGCATCTCCATCATCTGAAGTGTTTGCGGTATTGTCTTGTGGATTGGAGTTTTTATTTAGACTCCAACAATCCTTCTTCAAGTGACCCTTCTTTTCACAGTTGTAACACTTTAAATTCTTCTTGCTCCTCGACTTCGATCTACCATGTTTGTAACTGCTGCTTTGGCCACGTTCTATTGATCTCCCTCTCATCGTTGTCAACGTTTCTGCTTATTGCAGATTTACTTGTATGTCTTTCTTGTTTTTGCACCGATTTTCTTCTTGTAGAACAGCAACTGCAACGTCATCGAAGACTAGACTGATGACATTACTGTTGTCAAGTTGATGATGAGTTGATCATACGAATCCGGTAGACTTTGAAGTAGAAGTTCAACACGTTCTTGTTCTCCTATTTTACAGCTTAAGGATGTAAGCTGAGAAAATAAAGTGTTCAGTGTATTTAAGTGCTCCGTCACTGAAGTAGATTCTGGCATACGGAGAGTGTACAATTTTCTCTTAAGGAAAATTTTATTGTGCAGCGATGTGGCCTCGTACAGTTTGGTGAGATGATCTCATATCTCCTTAGCTGTTTTTTTCTCTTCAATGCTTGACAATACTTCATCTGCTAATGCTAGATGAAAGTTTGTCATAGCATTCCCGTCCATTTCGATCCATTTGTTGTCATCTGTGAAATCTACCGGCCTTTCACTGATAGCTGCTAGACAACCGTCTTTCCTCAGGACGGCCTTCATCTTCAATTTCCACAATGAGAAATTTCTCCCATTGAATTTTTCAATATCAAATTTCGTTGCCATAGCTTCTTTTACGGATAGCTCCCACTATTTCACTATCGTGAATAGCTCTCTGGAACCTTCAAAGAATGGGTAATAACTTCTTACTTTCTTATGTTGGAGGATCCACCTTTTGGTGGCAACCATAAAGACAATAAGTAGATATTACACAATCTAATATGGCTTGAATATCAATTGTTGCGGAAGACAGCTATCGGATATAGCAAAATCGCAACTAATAATTTGAGAAAATAAAAATGAAGATAAAAGAAACACAAAATTTACGTGGAAAACTCCTAAATAATATAGGGTAAAAACCACGGGCAACGGTAGAAGAATTTCACTATGAGAAAATAGAAATTATAACCTCTCTCGATCTACCAAGGAGAAACAATGATAATTCTCTTTTGATAAAAAGGAGAAAACAACTCTCAAGAAACTCTCTAAATTCTCTCTAGTATTGGAAGAAAGCTAGAATGCTTTGGGATGATTTTGAAGCTAAATGAGCTAGGGTATTTATAGTTGAAGCTTAAGGACTAATTTGTAAATATTCTAAATTTCAATAACTAATTGCATAGTTTTACCATCCAAAATATTCAACAATTTCAGCTGCCATTTGCACCACTTGCACCGAAAATATTGTTTTAAAAAAACCCACCGAAAGTTGCCTACACTTGTTGACTTTTCAGCAGTATTCATTTGTTCCCTTGTAGC